TTGTTCAATTGTATGCTAGTTAGGATGAATGCTTTGGAAAATAAAATTGCATGTATAATTAGAGAAAACATAGATCCAAAGCATCTAGGGTTGCATGTGCACCATAAGGTTGTTAGAGTGCTCAAAACCCTTCAATGGTATAAGGTTACTGCATATAAAATGACAGTTTAATGGGTGATCACTCTCACCCACCGCTTCCTTGACTAGTGGAGTGTCGTTAGCCGAACGGGTAGGATATGACATTAATTCTCATTATAAGTATAATGATAATTATAAAGTAACTAAAGTTTTATTAAATTCCTAATCTTAGTTACTTTAGGAAAAATGTGAAAATGCTGATATTCCATGAAATTGCACTTTGCACCTTGTTAAGTCGTTAGTGAAGCGTGTGTGGTTAACCGACAAACTAATCTAGGACTGAAAGTGTGTGGCAAAGGGTAGGTTGATGTTAATCATAGATCAATGGAACATGTGTGGCTAACTAACACATTGATTAGGTGATCTGTAACGTTAAGAGTACCAAGCACATTTGTATGGTTATTCACACCTTGTTTGTGATCCTCGGCATCCCAATCACAAACTTGAAGGGCACAATCGAGATTTAAACATGTCATTGAAAAGTTCAATGAATCTCAAAGAATCTAGGAATTTCAATCCATTTAAAACTTAATAATCTATTTCGTTTTTCATGGTGGGAATTGGTAAATCGTCATTTACCTACCTTTAAATATTTTACAATTGGTTTACGGCATCCCTCTTCCAATTTATTAAATATTTTGTTTGGTCCTAGCCTTAATATCTCATTTTGGGTGTTATATTAATGACTTAAATCTACTAACTTGAATTTCTCCCTTATAGATGTCTAGTGCAAACAACAATGGTGTTCTTGAATCTTATGAAGATGATGTTCCACGATTGGATCGTGGAGATGGAAATCATACTTCACTTCCTCCACCTCCTCCAATTATTTTCCCTGGCCCACATGTTCGAAGACTTGAATAGTTCAAGGTCACCTAAGCCCTATTTGCAAGTAAACATGAAGATGAAAAGTATATATGTGCTCATGTTTTGGACATGAAGCTGCATACGAACAGGCTGGGAATGTTGGGTGTCGTGTTCCCAAGGAAGTTGGCTATTGATTTGGCTGTTCAGTCACTTCCCAAGTCATATAGTGATTTTGTTAAAGACTACTATGCGACAAATCATGACATGACCCTTATTGATCTTACTTATTTGCTAATTGCTGCTGAATCAGCAATGATTTGGCGCATTAGTAAAGTAAACCTGAATGGAATATCTACTTCCCAAGCTAACATGGGGAATGCATGGATATCTCATAAATGATTCCTTCTCCTAAAGGAAAGGAATTGGCCATGGTCAAAAGTTTTGATCATAAGAGAAAGGCCAATTCAGAGATTGTTCCATGTGTCATTCCAAATGAGCCTATTTGTTTCTATTGCCAAGGAAAGGGACATTAGAATCGAAGCTGCCCTGAATACCTGAGAACTTTAATTAGTATGTATGGTTCTACTTTAGGTATGTTCATTGTTTAACTCTATTAAGTTCCTATTTATTGATTCTTAATACATGATGTGATAAGATTACATTTTGATGTTTTGTAGGATCAGCGGAAGCTTAAAGGAAGAGCAGGTTGAGTCTGATCGCGAAGAGATGGATTTCGATCACATGGTTCCATGATCGGATGTAGGAGTTGTTGCTTAGAAGTTATGATAGATTGCTTAGAAAATTGTAGTAACATAGTTTTCATTTGTAATTGCATTGTAAGGGAAAGTTTTCTGCAATTTTATAAATAAATAAAATTTGTTGTTTTTATCTTATTTATATTTCCTTGCAATGGCAATTATGAAAATTGATTTTTGTATGTTTCTAGAAATATTTGAAAAATGGATTTGATTCTTTCATTTGTGATAGTGTCAAAATTTACCAAATAAGGAAAGATTCTCATCACCCAAGTTTCAATTGGACATAAACCTGAAATCATGCAACTTGTATTGTATGATGAATGAGAATTTTTATCTTTAGGATATTAAGACTAAATCCTTGTTCACATGTATATGTGAGTTAAGTGAAGGACTAGGGGATCGAGTACACTTGATTGTATGATGGTCAAGTCCACCACAAAGAACGAGAAGACTATTCGTTATGATTTACTAAAGTTTAGTAAATATGGTTATACTTACAAGATTAAGTATAATTCTGAACCATTGGACAAGTTTCAATGTATAGCAGAACGAATAAGAAGAATCAAATTAGGCAGAAAGATAAAAGCTTCTCCAATCTGAAAAGAAGGGAGAGTACTTTAGTATCGTGTTTTATGACCATTTTAATGATTATGAAAGAGCATATCACAATTGATCCTCTAAGGACACCTTAGTGCACTTGTATGGCTAAGAATATGAATCGTGAATTGTTGAAATGGTTAAATCAAAAAAGGTGTATCATACTTCGTTCCAGATTGAGTCTTAGAGTCATTCTCCAAGATTGAGCCTTGAGTGACATAATCTTAAGAAAGGTTTATCACACTTATCAAATGTAGAGTAAAATGTTTTTTACTCTTTTACAATTGAAATGTTGGATTAGTGTCTAAGTCCATAACCATTTTGGTATGTACTTGACCCGATTGCGAGCATGATCCTTTTGGGTTACCTTGACACAGTTGACTAGACAGGATGACTGTTGAGGAGAGAGTCTGGTTTATTGTTAAGAATAATAAATTGGGGTATAAATATGATTTGTTAATATATTATATGAATAATATATTAATTTGGAATCATATTATTAATTAGTATTTAATCATAAGTTAATTAGGAATTAATTTCGGGATTAAAGGAACTAATTAAAAGAACAAGACTTGTTTTGTAATTATTTAATAGTTGACACTTTGGGCTATTGGATCACCTTTATTAAGGCTTGATCGAAAATCCTAGAAGGATCGAGGAGTTTTCGTCCAAGGGCTTAAGGAAAGGAGTCCATGGACTTCCTTAGGCCCTAAGCTAAGGGATTAGGGTTTCCACCTTGAAACCCTAGCTAGGCTCAAGTATAAATAGCACCCTAAGGCACTAGATTTCGACCACCACTTGGAAAAACCCTACCAGGGATGAATTTTGGAGCTTGGTACCTTTCCTCCTCTCTCTCTCTCTCTCATATTCGTCCTCTCACTCAAAGTGTGTTTGTGAGCAATTAGAGCTACTATACTTGTGGTGCTTGCTTTCAAGAGCTAAGGAAACTTAAGAAATTAGTTATTATTACCATATAACAACAAAAGGTATGTACTCTATTCTCCTATGCCAATTTCTAAAATAGTAGATGTATGCTAGGTTTCCTTTTGTGTTCATAATGTTGTATGTCTAATAGTGAAAACATAGATCCAATTAATTAGGGTTGCATGCACATATAGGATTGTTTGTATAAAACTCATCAATGGTATGAAAGCCATTGGTTTTTGTTTTCAATTAGATTTAACACAAATATATGAATTTGACAAATTAGGGTTTATGGCTAATAAACCCTAGGGCTTGGATTTTCGAAATTAGGGTTACAAAACCCTAGTTTTCGAATTATATTAGGGTTTCCCAAACCCTTTTCCTTAGCCACCAAGATTTTGAAATTAGGGTTATCTAACCCTTGGATTTCGAAATTTGACTTGTCCCCATGATAAGATTCCCAAATTTTAGGGATTTGGATAATGCCATATCTTGTAATTACCCCTTAATTGTTTAAATAGATAATTAAAGATCTTTTGAATTATCTCATCCAAATTTTCGAAATTTAGGGGATTTAAAGGATAAGGTTAAATTAATTGTTTGATTTAATAGATAATCCTTCAAGATTTGATAATTCAAATTAATTGTTTAATTTTTAGATGTTATTATATCAAAGTTTTAATATTTTAAATTATAAATTAAAGGTTTTAAATTTTAGAAATTTTAAATTTGATTAAAACCCTAGTTTTTTGAAAAGTCAAATTTCACCCCTTATGGTTTTATGAAGTTAATTAAAAGTATAATTAAAAGAGAATTAATAAATCCATAATCATATGGTTTATATTTAATTAAAGGTGTAATTTATTAAATTAAACCGTCTAGTATTTTAAAAGTGCAAAACACTACTAGAAAAACAGCCTTTTACGACGCTCATTGCGCGTCATAAAAGGCTCAGACGACGCGCAAATGTGTGTCAAGGAAGGCCCTGTCATAAAGAGAGACGACGCGGTTTTGCGCATCGTCTATAGATGACGCGCTTTTACGACGCGCGTTTACGACATGCAATGCGTATCAAGGAAGGACATGTCATAAAGGAAGACGACACGCATTCGCGTGTCATAACCTTACGACGCGCGTGTTAATAACATGCAATGCGTATCAAGAAAGACCCTGTCAGGAAAGGCCATGTCATAAATGACGATGACACACATTTTTGCGTATCATAATTTTAAATGTTTTAAAAAAAATATTATTTATAGATTTACTTATTTTCAAATTAAATTTGTATTTAATGTTTCATAATATAAAAAAATCATATACAAAAGTTAATGTCATACAAATAATCATTCTAATAGTAGACAAATGTATTACATCAATTGTGAAAGAGATGAACGTCATCAAGAAATAATAGTTGAACTAGTTCATTATTGGCCATATAGGTTAACTGCAATCTCCAATCCTTCTAGCAGACCCTAGAGATCATTATTGGTCATGTAGCAGGATCAACCTGCCAAAATAAGACACCAAATTAATGAGAAGCTGAGATACTACCTACAGGACAATTCAAAAACACATTATAAGCATAACAATCAACCCATGGACTTACTGTGGATCAATAATTTCTTTAATTTGCATATGTTAAGAAGACACAACTAAAGGTAGAATAATAATAAAAATAATATCTTACTCATTAAAATAACACACAAACATCTATCTGTATATTTCTCTTTTCCTCATTTAGATTATGAAACTGTAGGGACTGTCTAGAATCACTTGTTACTCATTAAAATACCCGTGGTTAGCTGCAGTTGTAAATAAAAGCGAAGAAGAAATAGTTGTTGTAGAGATATAGCATACAAAGAAGCTTCTTCCTTTTTTCACAGGATAAGTGTTAGATCCAAAGGCATTTCCCCTGTTTCTAAATTCATCTTCATGTCTTTGTACTCCTCTGTCCAGATTGGTTTTCAACATCTCGGATAACCGTTGCACCTGAAAATTTATATAGGTATAGATGTATATATAAAGAGGTTTTAAGTTTTGTACTCCTCTGTCCAGATTGGTTTTCAACTTTCAAGATTTTACATAGTTACAACAATGTATTCCAAATATTACAAAGTAATCTTCATTGCTATAAATATAACTGGGTGGAGTGTTCAAGGTACAATGCTATAATAGAAAAAAAATTTGTTGTTTCTTGCATTTAGCAAATAAACAATAGGGGAGTTGGTTACCTTGGGATCTAGCATGAATTTAATTGCATCAACCAACTTGGTGAGGTTAAACTGATCGACTGCTATGGGTGGCGGCCCTATGCCTCTGCTATGAACTCGTTCTCCCCAAAATGGTTGGTCACTAAAGAAAGGTACAATTGTAGTTGGGCACCGAACGTCAACATATAATATCAGATAAAAAGTCAACATATAATATCAGATTGCTATTATTGGTAAAAATAAAATAACAAGTTGTTAAGGAAAATTACCGCAGCTTTTAGTCCAGCAGCTGTAGTTCCAGCACCCCCGTGGTGTACCTACAATTACAAAATAAAAAATGTAACTACATTGCTATTATGTGTAACAAAAATGTAACTAAGTTGCTACTATGGGCGAAAAATAAAGCAGCAGCAATGACTCACCACAGATGCACATTGCAAGAAAAGCCAGTCATGAGGGATGTTGTCCAACGAGTATACAAATCCTTTGGCTCTGTTACTGAAGAGACAAAAAGTTTATCTACATCAGTTTTTGATTTCTTCCATAAGCAACAAAAGGGTAAAATGGGAAATAAAGTTGTGATATAAAAGATAAAATAAACGAAGCATATATATATATATATATATATATATATATATATATATATAATATATATATATATATATGTACTTATTACTTACAGATACCAAGACCACCCCATCCTTTGTTGATGATGCCGCTTTGTCCAGAATCTGCTGAAGGAATATACTCCCACCTACATCCACCTGGTAGTTCTGGCCCAAGTCTACCTGGCGATTGAACCTCAGGTACCGGTGCTCCTTCATAGTACCATTGCTGCTTCAAAAAATAGCTATTTGCATCATCAAATCACAAAAATTATCACTTCCAGATGCATTAAAATGCTCTATAGCTTGATGCCCCACCTCAGCCTTTGTACTTCCATCAAGTCTCTGATACTTGAACCCCTTAATTGATAAGTATCATGCTAGAATATCTAACATCTAAACCATCTGCAATGCATTCAAATATACATACATACATACATATATATATATATATATATATATATATATATATATATATATATATATATATACAACACAAGGAATAACCCACTAATAAAAGAGAAAAATCATTTACAAATAATACATACTTGTAAATTCTTTAGCCTTTAATAGTATTTTTTATGAACTTCATCTGCTGTTACTCCAAAATAACAACGTTTAATATATTTTATTTAGAACATTTATGAATCCATATAATGTTAAAAGCATACGGAGTAAGGATTTTAGATAAGAATTAAGAAATAGAAAGAACCTCTTAAACAGCTTGAAGCGTCCATCAACTATAGCTGGAACTTGATGAATGGGATTTATTGCTGCATAAAACAAGAGCAGTTAAAAGTTGTCAACTAAATATTGCAAAGAATTTGATACAAAATCAGTATCAAACCTTTATATTTAGGGCTGAATTGTTGGTTTTTCAAGACATCTGTTCGGATTTCCTCGAAATCTATCTCGTTTATCCTTCAAATAAATGGAAACAAATAAGAAGCTCACAAGCCCTAAACCTGTTAGGGTTCATCACATATAATGCCTACCAATCAAACCATAACATACACAATTATCAACTATACTTAATACTATTCTAATAAGATCATACATACATACAGACTTCCATCCTCTCTAACAAGTGTAGTTACAATTTTATTTTACTTTTATTTTTGAAAAAAATCCCACCTCAGACAAATGTATTTTAGCTTTTAAAAATGTCTCTAATTAGTAATCACAATAGTAACCAACTCATTTTTTTAATAACTATCTCATTAAAAAATTAAAATAAAGCAAATGAGATATAAATAAATGAAAACAATAAACAAACTTTTGAGTGTCTCCATAGCTCTGTCGCATGTCTCCGGACAAAGGAAATGCAGCCAGCGATTGATGTCTGGCTGAAGGCCATGTAAAAACATATCAAGCGCTTGTTCCTCGGATTGATTTGGAATTAGGGCCGATAAAGCTTTGAATTTCTCAATGTAATCCTCCATGTTTCCTTCCTGGAAGAGTTCGACCCTATTGATCCAATCTCTAGGGTCGGCAGTGGAGATAGGTGCTTCGTTGAAAACGCCAGTGATATTGTTGGGTCCTTTGAAAAGCGGTGTTTCTACTTCGGGGTTAGGTAAGTATGGTTTCCCTCCTGGCTTCTGAAATTCGAGAATCCTCTTCTCAATAAATTTAGGAAGCTCGTTGATGAGATCCTCCATGGCGTGAATAGATTGAGCGAGACTATTCATCTGTTTAGCTAGAGCTTCAATTTTCACATCGTGAATATCCAATCTGGTTTGGAGATAGGTTTCCATTTTAGATTCAGTTGGCTGCTCCATGATTTACGCAGGAAGAAGAGGGTTGAAAGGCAATGGAACCAATTGATAAGAATCGATAACACAATAATGAAGAACAGAAATTGAATGCTTGATTACTATGAACTTCACGTGGAAATAAGAGAATAACAATTCAGAGATGTTAATCAAATGATTGTTCTTCCTGACCTAAATTAGAGAGGATCTCAAAGAGATGACCTCCTGCCCAAGCTAATGCCGAAGACTCAAAATACCAATGCAAAACACTGAAAATGAATCCCACTACTGCTATGACTCATGCTATTTAACCTTATAAAAGATGATTCTGGAGTGAGGTGTAAAACATAAAGTAATAAAAATTACAACTAGGTCCCTCCATGTTTGCCCTTTGTTAATATTTGACACGTTCTCTATCAGTTGATAACCGGTGTTATAAGTTATTTAAAATCTCAACAAGTTTTGAATAATAGATTAAAAACAATTCCATCACAACAAATACCTGAGGAGGTGTTCCAACTTCATGGAGGCAATTAAGTAATTCTTTGCCTTTTAGTGCATATATATTCTTCTCTGTATCTGAACCTGTGGCCTCATCCTGAAGTAAGATTGATTGCTGAAGTAAGAGACAACGATATTTTATCCTCCTAGTTTGAGTGATTGGATGAAGTTATATCAGCACTGACACAAAGCAATTTAATCAAAAAAATTGATAAATTCAATTATAATTTAAATATGAAAATAGGTAAAGCAACAAAAGATCCTGGTTTTGAGTTTATCTTTGTATGAACTTGAAAATGAAGGACAAACAAAGTTTAGTTGCCTGATATGCAAAATCTTTTGTTTCAAAAAAATCTTTAGGGCAGGTCTAAACAATCTGTAAATGAAAACAACTTTCAATTCAGTACAAATATACAACTATGTTATAAATTGAATGTCAAAAATCCAAGAAATATCGAGAATTATATAAAAGGAAAAATAAACATGCCAATCTTCCATTTAATTTACCTGTGATAGAACTGAGATTACATGGCTATCCAATATATCCTCCATAAATATGTAATATGAAAAAAAAAAAACTTGCATCCATAAGTTTAAACTTGATCGGAAGCATATAAGAAAGTATAGTATATTTGGAGCTTGTGAAATCAACTTTACCATAATCAACTTTACCAAAAGATTCGTTGTTTTCACTCCACCCTAAACTTGAGATGAAGTCAACCATTTGTGGTGGGCACTTCCAGCCTTGAACAACACCAAGCATTTATCATTCATTGGAGATGAAACCATAAACAATATCAGGACCGGATCAACTACATAATGATATAAAAGATAGTTGTAAAACTGGAAGATGTTTGTTTAGGACAAGCAATAATAAGCTTCGAGAAGAGGCACTAACCAGGAAGATAACATAAATGAATCAGGGTGGCAATTCAACAAACAGTTGGCATGCACAACCAAAATCTACATAAAAATTGAATTCCCACTACTAGAAAAACAACATTAAACAGTTTGCAAATAGTTTGCATTAATCAAGAAGATGTTTGTTTAGGATAAGCAATAATAAGGTTCGTATATATCGTCCACATAATATATCACAAGCAGGATTAGTCATTTGGAAGCCGAACCCAATCGAGTTATCTTCACCCTGTAGATAAGTAAACATAATTCATGATAGAAAATAATATAAAACCAAATTCATTTGTAAATGAGTGATTGGGTGAATACGAATGGTCTAGCCAATAAGCTTTAAACAGTTTTCAGGTACGTATTAAAAAAAGATACTAACCTGGGAATGTCAAAATTTCCTTAGCTTATTTAGCGATTTCCTGAAACATTGTTGGTTAGATGGACATTCAAGAAGAAGTTCCCCTCCCTCTCTTGCTCTTCTTTGATTTTTAATGCAGAGGGATTAGTGGAGATGCTACACACCATTATCTCAATCACCTCCAGCGTCAAAATCCTCCCTACATCCAAAGGGATACTCTTGAGTTTTAAGCAATGATAAACCACTACATTTTGTAGAACTAGGAAGTTATCCCTCCAACATACCCATTCCCTTGGCTCTAACCCCCTGTAGCTTCAATACCTTGAGTCGCACAAACTCTGCATCGCCTCTTCTTATCCATCCAATGAAGTGAACATAAACTAAAACCCCCAAAGCTTCCCCTGCTATTGAAAAGAGCACAAGAATTGAGAATTTCAGGAAAAATAAGCATAAAGGTGACTCACTTGTGATGTAGAAGAACACGTTGATCCATGTCTTCGCCTCTTCTTATCCATCCAATGGATTCTCTCGAAGATTCAAGGCGATCGCGAACCATCCTCGTCAAATAATGATAACTTAGACATATCGAGGTTTTCAATAGAGAACAAGGTTGCCTGATTGGAGAGGCAAGGTCGTTTGTGAGTTTTAGCAGAAGATGTATGTTTATTGTTGATGATGTTTTGGATTTTTCTAGGGTTTTTTTGAGCTAATCGAATGAAGTAAACCCTTGAACCAAATCTGATCGGAAGAAGAGCAATCCCTTTCTCCTCCAGAGTTTTATTGCTAGATTTAGGTTTTGTGGTAGGCTGGGTCGCATTTTGTTTTTGTAGCATCAAGCTCCGAATGAACATAATCCATAGTTCAACATGATATTAGGGCTTTTAGACTCCAAAAAGTTCTTGTATGCATATTGCGATTGGAACCCTCGATATGATATGTTTCCTTTAATCGGGGTGGTTTATCCCCAATATAAGGAGAGTTTTTAGGGTTCAATGGTGGTGGAAATGGAATGGCTTAGGGTTTGCAGAGAGAAGGGAGGGAGAGAATGAAGGGAGATATACGGAAGAGAATGGAAAGCGGGGTACTTAAAATTTTAGAAATTTTAAGGATTTTAGAATTTTAGGAGGATTTCCTCAACAACGCGCGTTTTGAGTAAAAAACATAAAGCGACATTCACAGAGGACGCACACTTTATATAAAGTGTTGGATTAGTGTCTAAGTCCATAACTGTTTTGGTATGTACTTGACCCGATTATGAGCATGGTCCTTTTGGGTTGCCTTCACCATAGCAATATGTAGGATGATTTAAGGAGAGAAAGGTTTAAATATGATTTATTAATATATTATGAGAATAATATATTAAAGGAGAAATCATATTGTTTAATTAATATTGGTCAAGAATTAATTTTTTGGTTAAAAGAGATTAATTAAACTTAGGGGACTGAAGTTGTAATTATAAGATAATTATAATTGGGCTATGGATCACCTAATAATATATAGGTTGAACGAATTCTATGGGAAGCCCATTAGAAATCGTCCAAGGGATATGTTTAAGGAGTCCATGGGCTGCTTAGGGCCTAAGCAGTCAGATTAGGGTTTCCTAGTTGTAAACCCTAATAGCCTACATGTATAAAAGGGACCCTTAAGCCCCAAAAACGTGGACAACACTTTCATTAGGGTTTCCAGCCGTTTTTGGTGCCTCCTTTTCTTCTCCTCTTCATCCAAGTTGCATATGGTGTTTGTGACTCCATTAGAGGTACTACACTTGTGGTACTTGCTTTCAAGAGCTAAGGAAATTCAAGGAACTAGTTGTTATTGCTATATAACAACAAAAGGTATGTATTCTAGCTTTATATATGAATTTCGAAAATTATAGTAGCATGCCAGGTTTCTTTTTGTGTTCATAAAGTTGTATAACTAATAGTGAAAACATAGATCCAATACTAGGGTTGCATGCACACATAGGATTGTTTGTATAAACCCACAGTGGTATCAGAGCCATTGGTTTTTGTTTTCAATTAGCTTTTATTCAAATTTGTGAACTTGACATATTAGGGTTTATGGCTAATAAACCCTAAAGGCTAGGTAATTTTCGCAATTAGGGTTGCAAAACCCTAGATGGCGATTTTTGCTAGGGTTTCCCAAATCCTTTCCTTAGCCTCCAAGATTTTGAAATCTAGGGTTATCCAACCCTTGGATTTCGAAATTACCTCCTTCCCAAGGTTAGATCCTAAATTTTAGGGATTTGGATAATCCCATATCTTGTAATTATCTTTTAATTGTTAAATATGGTAATTAAAGATCTTGAATTATCCCATCCCTTATTTTCGAGATTTAGAGAGGGATTCAAGGGATTAGGATATCTTAGATGTATAATTGGTAATTATCCTCATGATCTAGATAATCCCTTGTGATTTAATAATTTAAATTAATTGTTTAATTTATGGTAATTATTAAATCAAGAGTTTTAATATTTAAAATTTTAATTTAAATGTCTTAAATTCGAAAATTTTAAGTGAGATTAAAACCTAATTGTTTTGAAGAGTTTCAAAACTTGCCCTCAAGTTTTGGAATTTAAATTGTTGATTAAAAGTTAATTTTGAAAGTCTAAATTCCAAAACCCTGATTTTGAAAAGTTCAAATTAAACCCTTATGGTTTTATTAAATTAATTAAGTGTATAATTAAAAGAGATTTAATAAATCCATAATGATTTTGGTTAATTAAAAGTATAATTTAAACCACCTAGTATTTTAAAAGTGTAAAATACACCCTTATACTATATATAACATTAAAAGTTTAATATTATATATGTATAACTAAAAAGTCAGTCTTACCGTTAGTAGGCCTCATTCACGAAGCTAGTCTATAAGGGGTGTTTAAGGAAATTGCCTATAAAATGGCGATTGAATGGGTATCCACTCTTACCCACCGCACTCTTGACTAGTGGAGGGTCGTTAGCCGAACGGGTAGGATAGGACAGAAACCTTCCATTATAAGTATAATGAAGTACAAAGTAACTAAATGCTTTTTCAAATTCCCAAATCATAGTTACTTTAGGCAAAATGTGAAATTGTATGCTAACCCATGGAATTACACTTCGTACCCTTGTCAAACGTTAGTGGAGCGTGTGTGGTTAACCGGCACACTAATTTGGGGATGACATTGGTAGCGAAGGGTGGCTCGATGCTTATCATAGATCAATGGAGCGTGTGTGGCTAACCGGCACATTGATTAGGTGATAGTACATTGGGTGCACCACGTGATTCGTATGGTTATTTACACCTTGTTTGTGATCCTCGGCATCCCAGTCACAAATAGTAGGGCATAATCGAGATTAAACATGCCATTGAAAAGTTCAATGAATCTCAAAAGATCTAGGAGTTTCAATTCATTTAAAACTTAAACTTCTTTTTCGTTTTTCATGGTGGAAATTGGTAAATCGTCATTTACCTACCTTCAAATATTCTGCAACTAGATTACGGCATCCCTCTTCTAGGTTGTAGAGTATTGTGTTGGATCCTAGCTTGATGTTTCATTTGGGTGTTGCATCAAGAATTCTAATCAACTTAACTTGAATTTTCTCCCGTTTTGTAGATGTCTGAATCTTACAATGGTCTTCCCAAATCCTTTGGAACAAGCTTTCCAAATGAAGATGACGTTCCGAGATACGATCAAGGAAATGAGAGTCATGCTTCACTTCCTCCACCTCCTCCAATTATTCTCCCTGACCCACAAGTTCAAAGGCTTGAAAAGTTCAAGCTCACTCAAGCCCTTTTGGCAAGTAAACACGAAGATGGGAAACCTGTGTGTGCGCACGTCTTAGAGATGAAGTCATACATTGATAGGTTAAACATGTTGGGTGTCGAGATTTCAAGTGAGTTGGCTGTTGACTGGGTTCTTCAGTCACTTCCTGAATCATATAGTGAGTTCGTTAGAGAGTACTATATGATGGACCACGACGTGACCCTAATTGATCTCACCTATTTGCTTATAGCTGCTGAATCAGCAATGATCTGGCGTGCTGGTCAAGCAAATTTGTCTAGTGAATCAAACTCCCAAACTTCAATGGACACTGGCAACATTGGAAGTCCAAAAGAACTAAGTCTGTGATTGTCCGATGTGTTGTGCCAAAGGAGTCTATTTGCTTTTATTGCCAAGAGAAGGGCATTGGAGACGAATCTGCCCTAATTACCTGAGAGATCTAAGAGATGGGAGAGTCAAGACGTATGGCTCTGCTTCAGGTAAAATCCATTAACTAACTCTTTTAAGTTCCTATTCTAGATTCTTAATACATGATGTGATAAGATTACATTTTGATGTTTTGAGCTGAATCTGATCATGAAGAAATGGATTTCGATCGCATTACTTGAAGAATGGATTCTTGAGCTACAACTTGGAGTTAGAATAGATGGTTAACATAGTTTTTCAGTTGAATTGCATTGTAAGGACAAGTTTTTTCCGCAATAAAATGAATTTTGATTTTATCTTATTTATTTATCCTTGCAATGGCATGTATGAAAAATTAATGTTTGAATGTTTCTATTATTAGCAATAATGGATTTGATTCTTAATTGTATTATTTGTGGAAGTGTCAAGAATTTACCAAGTAAGGAGAGTTTCTCATCACCCAAGTTTCAATTTGACAGAAACTTGGAATCATGCAATGTGTATTGTATGATGAATGAAAAACTTTCACATTTGGGAAACTTAGACTAATTCTTTGGCAAAGTGTCAGTTGAAAGACTAGGAGATCAAGTACACTAGGTTGTGCGTTGATCAAGTCCACCACAAGAGTGACAAAGATATTCGTCATGATTTACTAAAGTTTAGTAAATGTGATTATACTTATAAGATTAAGTGTAATTCTGAGATTGATTGAAAGAGTTTCAATGAATAGTAGAACGAATAAAGAAGAATCAAGTAGGCAGAAAGATAAAAGTTTCTCTCTTCTAGAAAGAAGGGAGAGTACCTTTTATTGTGTTTTATGATAAGTCTTAAAGATTAAGAACCATGTCTCAATAGATCCTTAAAGTGAGTCTTAGTGCAATTGCATGTCTAAGAAGAGGAATCAAGTATTGTAGAAATGGTTAAATCAATATGTCAATCATACTTCGTTCCAATATTAAGTCTTAAAGTCAAGATTGTGACATTGAGTGAAAAGTTTTAAGTAGGTTTATAACACTCATCAAATATGGAACTTGGAAAAGTTTTCTTATTCTTGTACATTTGAGATTGGTAAGTTGTGATGTCTTGGATAAGACAAAGACCAACTAGGACCAACTTGTGAAGTGTTCTTGTCTTGATAATAACTGCACTGACTCTTGAATATTTGATTGTCAAGAAATGTTTCTTGACAAAGAGAATCATATATGTCAAGAGGTCAGTGGGAGTTTTAATGTTTTGAAAAAGTTTCAAGAACAAATCAAATAAACCTTATCGATCATCACTAGCGCACGAGTTGAGGTTTACAACCTATCGTGTTGACATTATTTTGATTCTGTGCCAATCCAATCGAGTTAATTATGCATGTGAGTTCTATGAATTCTCATTTGAATGCATAAAAAGCAAGGACCTTGATCAATGAAAGTACATTGATAAGAAAGGGTGAGCTGCTTAACTACTTGGAAGACGTGGTGGGCAGCTGTGCTACCATAAGGCAAGAAATCAAGATTAAGAAAGTTCAGTCCATATGAGTTCGGATTTGTTGCGAACCTTGGTTTTGGCAAATTAACATGGATAGGAACTCATACACCATAAAATCTAAGTGTTATAAGATTCCATCCTTCATGAAAATGACTGTGAGGAAATGCTTTCACTAAGAGAGATTTTAAGAAGATAGCGATTGTGAAA